AACGTGTTATGTAGAAACTGACTCAATCCATAATGTAACTCATTTACTAAGCAGTTTTGATCGGTCAAACAGATTATGATTTAAACATGCTAAACTAAATTTAAACTCAAAAACTTTGTATCCATTTTGTATTAGATTAGGAGATCATAGTAAGAACTATTCGCCATATCTTTTGTCATGTCTACAAATTGCAATGAGTTATTTTCCAAGAATATTTATTTGACTTATTATGTAGTTGTTAGCAAATTGATGACTTATGATATTAACCCAAGAACATAATTTTTCAAAAGGATGGACCTAGAACAAGAAGACAGAGAAAAACAAGAGCACACTCGCCATGACAATGACATCAATGAGTAAATTGTGCTACAAAAATGACCCAAAGATCGGTGGGGGGATAGTTTATTACAGCTTTTCCTACACATATTCTCCAAAAGAATGTGACTCCAAACGCAAACTTACATGCAAGTGGCGGGCAAATTGGTTGAAGTAATCAACTAATTCTTCTATGCTTTTTTTCTCTCTTCTTGACTCGTACCTTTCTACTCATAAAGCGTATGAAAAGTGTTTAAAGGGGCCACATGAATGACATACACATGCACCACAAAGACCAAGTGTCATGTAGAAGCCAGTTGGTGATTAGCATGCGGATTAGTTGGGATTGTGTGGACCAAGAAATTAAAAGGGAAGGGAAGAGAAAAAAAAGGTAAGATTTCGATATCGAAGAAGATACAATATTAAAAATTAAAAATTTTTATTTTTAAAATATAAAAATGAACTCTATTTAGATTATCTTAAATGGAAACTCAAACTCTAATCGAAATTTGAGTAAATAAAAGGGTTAAAAACTTGATTTGACTTCAATAGAAAAACTTAAATGTAAATGAAGAGGAATTTAAATTTAAAAAAAGATAAAATCTGATCATTAGATCTTTAAAAAAATGTGTAATATTAACATTAAAGATTTGAGTTTAAAAAAGAGTCTCCCTTGGGTTTAAAAAAAGATTTTCTTTCATTTAATATGAGTAAGAGTTTAACATTGGGCCGAAAATGCTCTTACTTAGACTTTAATTAGGCAAGCAGACCTTGGCGAATGAGTCAGCTAATGGGCGTATTGAAGACTTAGGTAGCAACCATGCTGATCTGGCCTGAAGATATCGAACCATGGTTCAAGGTCGCTATATAGGTCATCGACTCAGAGAGCTTTGAGACACATTTAGTTGGCGTCACGATGCTGTATCGGGTGATACGACCTACAAGACAATGTTGAACATGATGAGAGATTCAGGGTCATATTGCGGTGTCGCAAAATTGTATCGTCCGATTCGGTGATGATAACTCAGCAATTTGGGATTAACTCGAATACAACTCGATTAACTTGGCAGAGTCGTGCGAGACTTAAGATTTATATGTACCGTATACCGTTATCGTCTCAGAAGGTATCAAGTCAGATACGACTCAGTCGACTCGTATCAGTATATACCGATACTTTGAACCATGTATCAAATAGACAAAAGTTGTATCGACTTCGTAATGGAACTTCACAGATCTTGGCGTCAATCACAATAACTCTATTTTATTGTAACTTGACCTAAAAAAGTTATAACTTAATACAAAATATAGTGAATTTTGGTACAGTTAAGAAATATAGCTTTTCGATACAATAATATTATTTGTAAAAAGAATGAAAATTTAAAAAGAGAAACGGGAAGAGAAAACAAAAGAGAAAATCCATATTCTTTTGTTTCGTATGAAAGAAAAGTGGAGAGAAACCTAGAGAGAGAAATCATTTAAAATTTAGAAAGAAACATAATGATAGTTAACAAAAGAAAAGGCAGAGGGGAGAAACATTTCTTCTCCATTCGGTTTCTTCTTTTCTTAGATTGCAACCCAACATGGGAAAGGAAAGATATTGAAAACTTCCCATTCTTTTTTCTTCCTCTGTCCATGTCAAACAGGCTGTTAATTTCTTTTTTGGCTCGGATCGGTATATAGAGCTACTCTTTTTGAAATCAATTATGCTGACGTGGATATCCTGTCTTTGATCAGATCGGAGAGGAAATTAGTCGAAATAGGCGCAAACAAACCCGGACACCCATGACCATTGAATTGAAAAAAAAAAAAAAAATCAACCATGATTTCTTGCTATATTGATCCATTTGAGTGATGAAATTAAAGGACCTTATGTAACCAAAATGATGGAAGAACAGTAAGGAATGTTGGAGTAAAAAAGTGTCCCATGCTTTTTTTAAAGCTTGCGGCAGACTTAGAGCTATCCATCATCCTAAAAACAAGAGAATGAAAAAGACTCCACCGGACCCCATTTCCCCCAAAACCTTCTCTTGTCAATCGGACTTCCCAGAAAAATTCTTTTCACGCCTGTAATCAGAATGATTTCGAAGGTAGAACAAACATAGCCCTTATTATCGTGTCTTCTTGGCTACTAAAGGCAATTTCAAGGGAAAAGGGAATGGAAAGTCCAGACAAAAAATGAGAGCCCATTTAGCAGTCAATACTGTTGATAATTCTTGTCCTCAGTGTTGTGTTTGTAAAGAAGGCTCTTTGAATGTAATAATGTTAATCTACACAGATTGGATCAGTGGTCTAATAAGAGCAAGACGTAATCTCACACTCTTGAGTTTGAATCCACCTAACCACATAAAGCCGAGTTTAACAATTGTGCGTGATTTGTAAATAATTGAATGTATTTGATGTTTAAATTACAACCATAAATCTAAAGGACGCATGATTGAGATGATTATTGTGACAAGAAGAAAAGATAGAAAAAGTTCGCGACTCAATTGAGCTCAAAATGAAGCCCAAGTACCCAATAATTGAATGCATATTGCACTTTAGCATAGATTAGAATTACCTTGATATGGTACATACCCAACCTAAACCAACCCTTTGATACTAAATACATGTAATTAAGCTTATCTCATAACAGTTGAGCCAAATCCACAAAGAAAACTAAAGGCAATGTACCTAGTGCCTAATGCCTATGTGTATATGTTGTTTCTTTTTGTCATTTTTAGCTTGTCTTTGGGTCTCTTTTGTGAATGAACTTAAGAAAGCTTTGTCCTTACATAAACAAAGCCACCAACTCCCACCATATAGGTTTACTTTTTGACAAAATCACCCATAATTTAGTCATGTTTAAATCTCCAAAATGTCTTTTCCCTGTAACCAAACAACAAATAGCAAAACCAATAACAAATAGCAAAGCCAACTATTGCAGGGCTGGCCTTGTGAGTGTCTACTCTTAGACTGTTGAATGTATTGACTTTGCAATCTCATTATGACATTCATACACAATTTGCCCTTCTTTCCCAAGTGTAAGACCTTGACTTGGAAATTGGCTTGTTGGTTGGACAATGTATATGTATTCAAGGTTACATACACAATAAGGCACCCTCCAAGAAATTGAAATGGGACTACATTTAGTTTTTTATGTCTATTCGAACGAGGACTTTTGTGTTTATTGTTCGTTTTATTATCACTTAAATTATCTCTTTAGACCAGATCAGGAGTGATTTATCTTTCATGAATATCCAATACCCGACGTAGATGATTTGTTTTTGACTGAAATAAGAAAAAATTAATCGATGTGCGTATAAACTAATCCAAAAATCTCTCACCATTAAACTAAACAAAAAAAATTTAATCAACAATCCTATAATCTCAATCTGAACCTTTTTGTCAGATCAGATGTACATGTATTGCAGATTTGGCTGACCTAATTTTGGAATTCTTTTGGCATCATCTCCAGATTTTTGGTTTCTTGTGAAGACTGCACATTGGGTTAATTATACTTTACCCCAGGAAATTTGAAACTAGTTACATTTCATCCCCATAAAGTTCAAAAACTTTATATATTGTCATATCACTTCCCAAATTTATTGCAATGTGCACCAATTCACTGACAATGATGGTTTTTTCTTGTGTGAATGCATCACATGACTTGCTAGAGGGCAAAAGAGTAAAATTATCATCCAGCCAATCTACTCAAAACCTCTAACCCCTAAAGTGAACCCTCTTTCTACCAATCCTTACCCTCACCATAAGTTGCCCCTCCCTTACCAACCTACCATCCCTAATTCAACTCCCTTCCATTGGAGAAAGTATTTATTGTAGCTATGGATAAGAAACTAACATATAGACAATTTAATCTTATATGATTTAGTAACTACTCTATTCAGGTAAAAAATAACTTTCTTACATAAAGAAGTCAAGGTCATCTTGTCTAGTTATTAATTTATTATTGGATGATGATATTGTGAGACAATAGTGATATGATATTATTGTTGAACTGAATATTTACTCCTTCCATTTATCTTGTAAAAACCTCATCGCCATTGGGTAGCATTTTGTCTTTCACTAACCTCCCATCCTCCTACTTTTCTAGTCACACCCTCGTCCCATATCCCACGCCAATTCTCCTATCCCTCTCTCTTTTTTCTCTCTTTTTAACAAAGTGCTAGCCTAATGGAATTATACCGACCATAGGAGAAAGAAAAGAGAAAATAATGATGGATTGATAATTTTATGTTTTTCCATTGTAGCGTGTAAAGTGAAATGTTCAACAAAGAAAAAAACCCAACACCATCTATCAATGGGACCCTATTTCAAAAAATTAAACGCGTAATGTGAGATTTGTCATTTTTTAAGGGGACAAAAGTGCAACTAGTTATAAACTTAGGAGCTAAAGTGTAACTAACACACCTTACAACTACCCCTCATTTCTCTACTGTGCCCTCATTAATACTTGTTTGGACAATGTTTGATTCAAATTTTTTAGTTGACCTAAAAATAATCCATTGAAAATAAATTTCCCTCAGCTGCACAAATAAAAAGGTGAAGACATAATACCCTGAAAAACTTTTGGCCTCTTCCAAACTACCATTCCCTTTTTGAAAAAATCATTACCAAAACAGAGAGACTCTGCTTTTGAAACGAACAACTTCCTACAAATCAATCAATTCCTCCCTTCTTTTCCCTCCATTCTCACACCTTTTTTTTCTTTCTTTCTATCTCTTCCTCATGCTCTGTTAGTCAATCAATTACGGCTTCACGCTCTCTTCAACCACGCCTCCTAAAATGCACTGCAAGTTCAGTCCACGCGTATTCACTACTCTGAGCTTGGTTCCTCTTTTTTCCAACACAAAATTGATGACCCACCATTCTTAAACACTTGGATTCACCTTCTTTTCCGATAAGTTCTAGATTGAAGTTCTTTTACTTGGACTTTTCAAGCCATTTGTGCGATGTTTTGGGTCAAAATCAGATCTACTACTTCAGCTGAGCAGTAGATCTCGGAGTTCTTCTCCTTGCAGCGGAATAGGTGGCGCCATGGTGGTGGAGCCTTGGATACTAAAAATGGGAAACCAGGTAAGCTCCAATCTCAAGCATGCCCTTCATGCTGAAACTTCTAAGAAAGCAAGCAAAAAACAAGAGCAAACCAAAGAGATTATTGGGATTTTGTCCTTTGAAGTAGCTAATGTAATGTCGAAAACAGTTCATCTGCATAAATCTTTAACTGACCCAGAAATCTCCAAGCTGAAAAACGAGATCTTGAAGTCCGACGGCATTAGGGCCCTCATATCAGGAAATGAAACCCAGCTCCTGGAGCTGGCTTTAGCTGAAAAGCTTGAGGAGCTGAACTGGGTCTCCGGGGTTGTCTCAAGATTGGGCAAGAAGTGTACCATCCCAGCACTGCAAGGGTTTGAGCATGTGTATGGGGATATAGTGAGTGGAGTGATAGATGTGAGGGAATTGGGGTTTTTAGTGAAGGATATGGAGGGGATGATAAGGAAAATGGAGAGGTATGTTAACTCAACGGCGGGTCTCTATAGTGAAATCGAGGTGTTGAATGAATTGGAACAGGCGACAAAGAAGTTTCAACAGAATCAACTCGAAGAGAGTCGAAAGGCGTTCGAGCAGAAACTGGTGTGGCAAAAACAAGATGTGAGGCATTTGAAGGATGCTTCGCTGTGGAACCAGAGTTATGATAAGGTTGTGGAGTTGTTGGCGAGGACTGTGTGTACTATATATGCACGGATTTGGTTGGTGTTTGGGGACAGAATTGCGAGAAAGGACTTTATTAGTGGGGCACTTTCAGGGGCACAGTTTGATTTCAGTGGGAGTTTACATCATGTGAGGAATGAATGTGGCAAGAAGTCTGGGCAGATTGATGTACAATGTAATGTTCAGATGGGTGTTGAGTCACCAAGACAGGTTTTGAGGAACAATTATGGTTACCGTCATTCAGGGCCAATAGAAAGAGCCATGGTGGAGAAGAAGGGCATGAGCATTAGGCCTCAAGGGATGTCGCAGAGGGGTGAGGTAGGGTTGTTTAGGTCGGGGGATTTTGATGTTGCATGTGGAATGGGGCCGGGGAGGCTATTTATGGAGTGCCTTAATTTGAGCAGTTCTGCTTCAAAAGTGGATGATGATGATGATGTTGGCTATGATGACCGAAGTAGTCAAATTTCAGGGTGTTGTAGTGTTGCAAGTTGTGGGAAGAGAGAGCACCCAAATTATTCAGGTTGCTTTAATCGCTCCCAAATTGGTGTTCCTTTCAGTGGAGAGCAAGGACAGTTTAAGGGTAGCATAACAAACAGTGCAAAATTTGGCTCCAAAAGTAGATTAATGGTATATGCCCCTCCTAGCACTGTTGGAGGCTCTGCTTTAGCCTTGCATTATGCGAATGTCATAATAGTTATTGAGAAGCTGCTTCGCTACCCTCATTTGGTTGGTGAGGAAGCTAGAGATGATCTGTATCAGATGTTGCCTACGAGCTTAAGACAAACTTTGAAGGCTAATCTGAAGTGTTATGTGAAAGACCTGGCAATCTATGATGCTCCTCTGGCCCATGATTGGAAAGAGAAGCTTGATGAGATATTGAGGTGGCTTAGCCCATTGGCACATAACATGATCAGATGGCAAAGTGAGCGCAATTTTGAACAGCAACAAATCGTGAGGCGCACAAATGTTCTCCTGCTCCAGACCTTGTATTTTGCTGATAGGGCAAAAACAGAGGCCGCTATTTGTGACCTTCTGGTTGGGTTGAATTATATATGTCGTTATGAGCACCAGCAAAATGCTTTATTGGATTGTGCAAGCAGTTTCGATTTTGATGACTGCATGGAGTGGCAACTGCAGTATTCAACTTCTTATCATTCTTGATTACATCTGAGAATTGAAAACATGCTGCTGGTGGGATTTTTCTCAACTTCCAGCACTTGTATGATAAGACAGATAATAGCTCAACAACATGTAAATACTGACGCTTCAGATAAGGAAGATGTCTATTATTGTAAAATGTGCTTCATCATTGTATCTCGTTGCAAGGTATTGAAAATTTGGATTTTTGAAGTATATCATGAAATGAAAAATCTGCTCTTTTGATTGACATATTTTTTGGCAAGGTGTGTCTATATTGCCTGTGTTGCTGTGAATTAGTAGTACTTCATCAATTCTTTTATGCAATTTGTTAAATGTCTTATGATGTCAAGAAGAAAGGTAATTGATCATACAATACTTGGTGTCAACTTATTTCTTTCAGCTACTGATGGTTGTAAGAACTGCATTCCCATTTCAATGAAATATACAAATGTCACTACCACCCTTTTTATTGGAATGCACAATTTACTCCTCGTTTCCTATTTATTTCCTGTACTTTATGATCTAGTTAGTTACACTCAATGTGTTGGATTATGCTATCCGCTGAATTTTGAAGAAAACATAATCTGAAATGTATGGAAACACTGTAAGTCAGATATTATTCTCATCTCGTCTATCAAATCCATTGTGCCTGTTACTGAGATGAAGAATTGCATAGTTGGGCATTATTTCTGGTATGGAATTTGGGGTGCCTATGTCAATCCACTGTGTTATTCGGGGAAAGCATTCATAAATAATAGCACTATTCCCATAGCTCTTCTTGAAGGATACAACTTAGTCTCTTGTAGAGAAAATATAAAACCAATTTAATGTTTCATAACCATTTGTTAAGTGATTTTAAGAAGTCCTTGCATTTTATATCACCTTTGATATACCTGTTTTTTTATGTTTACTCTTTTTGATGACTCTATTGTTGTTATTCTTAATGATGACTATGCACTTTCCTGTGCTCTTGCAATTTGTGTTGCATGCTGCTTGTGCTGCCATAGTGTCTCTGCAGTAGTGCTCTACTTATGTAGTAGCAGCTTCTAGTTTGCTTATGACTTAGTAGCAAGCTGATGCCGCTTCGTGAGATCATATTTATGTCAACTTTGCATCAAAAAATTATAATGCTCTAAGAAGTTTTGGCTTACTAAAGGAAGTCCTTTCTTTCGTCTTCTGTAATCATGCTCTCAATGTTGCATAATAGTGACTTGTCTAAATGATCTAATTTTCTGCTCAAATTTATGGTTTATGATTTGTTGACAGTAGGGAATCCTTTTGAACTTAGAACAAACAACATTGTTGGCTTGTTAACATTCTCCTTCACAGCCTTACAACAGATGCATCAGAGAATACAAGAAAAAGATATTTTGTCCATCAGCAGATTTGGAATATGAAAGACAAGAAGAATCAGAAGATAACAAGTTTGGTAATGCGTAAAAGGTAAGTTCATGATGGATTTGTTATTTTAAGTAAAAAAATATTATGGTAATTCTGTGAATGTTAATCTGAGCAGATAGGGAAGTGGATTGCAATGGTTGCACTTATGATTTCAGTAATTCTGTTTCCTTTTAAGATATTGTGGTCTGATAAATAATTGACAAGTAGCTGGGTGTGTACGTAGTAGTTTACATCAATCATTCTAATATATATTTTTTCCTCCATGTATGCTACTTTAAAAAAATTAACGTGAATGGCGGTGGTTTTTGTTAGCTAAATGTAGTCTTATTCCAAGTGGTGGGCATGTGATAACTTATTTAACTCCTGTAACATTCATCGATATTTCATCCAGAACATTCTCTTTGTTTTCAGTTATAAATGTTATTCCAATTCCTCTACCCCAACCTGAGAAGGCCCACACAATTGAATCAAAACTTTGTTAGATTTGAGGCTGTATATTAGACTCATCAAATTAAACACGAGGGTAGTTTTAATGCTCTCATGCCTAGGAAAAATATAGGAATTTCTTGCACTCAGCACTTCTGAAACTCATGTGGGCAATCAGAGAGAGAGACAGGACTCTTTGATTTTTCACGAGTCTCTAGTTGTTTCACCCGTAGATCACTCTCAAGAGTATCTGAGATGACACATTGATTGTTCTGATACATATATCTGTGTGACTTACATTTGCTATTCTAAGGCTTTGAGCTTCACTGTTACTATTAAGACTGCAAGCAAAATGCTTTAATGGCTCATTGAATTTTTGAAGTCTTTTAACTTGATAGTCTCGGCTGTTTGGTATTGCCTAACAAAGAGGGAACCTCCTTGACAATGTCAAATGCCTTTCTCCTTGACAGACAGACTATGGATTTGCTGATGCTTGTGAAGGCAACTACATAACGCCCAATTTAAAGTTTCCAGGCAGACATTTCTCCGGTTCCATCCCTTCTGCTTTGGTGCTTAACAAGGTCTCTGAAAGCAACCATGTTTAGCCAAGAATATGTCGACAAAGAGTGCATTCAGTAACAGTTTGCTGTTCGTACCTGGAACTGATCAGCTAGATCCTTTGAGGGCCTTGTCATCAAGAAAATCAGCAGCAGTACCATACTCTTTGGTGTTCCACGACGGTGAGCAACCACGAATCTGTTAACATTGATCAAACGCAAGAAAAGAAAGAGAGAAATCAAGAATATTATTCATAAAGGAAGTCTGTAATACACAACTTAATGTAGAAATACACAAAGTAAGTCTTATATAGTAGGGCAACACAACATAAAAAAAGTGCCTAAACTATCCTTGGTATTAATACTCTAATACCTTCTCTCAAACTCATGATGTGGTAGAGAACATCAAGAGTTTGTCAAGAAGAAATCTAAAATGTGCTATGGTGTGAGACTTCGTAAAAAAATCTGTTATCTGTATTGTGGAAGGAAGAAAGAAGAAAGGGGAGAGTGATGGTGTCTTGTTGTAGATGATGACGCACAAAGTGATAATCAATCTCAATATGCTTTGTACGCTTATAGAAGACCTAGTTATGAACAATCTGAATAGTACTGGTGTTGTCAAGAACATAGGAGTAGGAGAAAATATCAAAATGTCAAGATCAGCAAGGAGTCATCGTAACCAGACTATCTCAGTTGTAGTAGATGTCATAGCACGATACTCAGCTTTAGCAGAGGAACGAGAAACAACCGTTTATTTCTTGTTTTTTTAGGAAATAAGAAAATCTCCAAGAAATAGGCAGAAACCAGTGGTGGATTTACATTCTATAGAGTTACCAGCTCAGTCAGCATTAGAGTAAATCTTGAGTTTTATAGAAGAAAAGTGAGAAAATAGTAAACTCTGATGTAGAGTACTACGGAGATACCGAAGAATGCAAAGAATAGTAGCCCAGTAAATGGTGGTGGGTGAGGCAACAAATTGACTCACAATGTGAACAACATAAGAGATATGTGGACGAGTGATTGTAAGATATACTAAAACACCTAACAATAGTTCGATAGAGGGTTGGGTCAGACAAAGGAATGTCGTCAGACGAAGAATAACAAACATTGAGCTCTAAATGTGTGTCAACTGTTCAATTATTGATAAAATGCTCGTTCAATAACATCTAAAGTATACTTGGATTGAGAGAGAAGATATCCTTTATGAGAGGAAGTAATCTCAATACCCAAGAAAATCTAAGTTATTTTAAATCTTTCATCTCAAATGTTCCTGCAATTGGGTTTTCAATAAGCATATGTCAGCAGCGTCATCACTCGTAATAATCATATCATCAACATATAGTAAGAGAATAATAAAACATGAGGAAGTAGATTGTAAAACGAGAGCAGAATCACGGTCACTGGCGCAAAAATTCAAGTTACAAATAACCAAAAGAAAATTTGGCAAATCATGCCTTGGGAGCTTGTTTAAGACCATATAAAACACGATAAAGTTAACATACTTGACTAGAACTATAAGATAATCTAGGGGAGGTGTCATAAAAATCTCTTCAGTCAAATCTCTATGTAGAAATGTATTTTTCACATCTATTTGAGGCAAATTTCATTGTTGAATTGTGCAACTGCAATCACAGTACGAACAATAGTCATCTTGGCAATAGGAGCAAAAGTTTTATCATAATCTAGACCATATTCCTGAGCAAACCCCTTTCGCTACTAATTCAGCTTTATATCGTTCTACAGAACCTTTCGACTTGATTTTTATCTTAT